AAAAATGATACGAAATACCGATACTATGGGTATATTATATATCATGTACACGTGCATCTGGGAAAAAAAATGTACGCAATAAACACTGAACACCAAGAGACGAAAAAATCGACACCATCGCAGTCCATTGATCACAACTGTCCGATTATCACGGATAAAATACAGTAGAAGTGTTCTCGGTATAATAGGTATATATATATCATGATTGTGTGGTAGCTTGAACTAAAAAAGTTCAGGTCCTTAATATGAACAACGAAAATAAAATTTAATTTCACACTCTTGTTGTAGAATTTTACATTTTACACTTTAACATCTTGGCGTATGTAATTTAATAATTAAATTGCATACGCCAAGATGACAATTATTGTATTAGAGTTACCTGCCTGTAAGCCCATCAAAATCTTAACAAGCCTTCTAATACAATACACAAGCGAAAAACTATATTAATACATTTATAAGTTATTAATACGTTTTTCCCGAGTCCTGATTTTCTATATATATATTATAATGAAGAAATGCACAATAATTTACCATATCATTTATTTTTGTATTAATTCGATTATGTTTTGAACTTTTGAAGGTGTCTAAAAACATAAGACAAATACACCCAATAGTTCTTGAATCGTTTTACAACTTAAAAAGATTATTCAGCATAAATATTTATTTAATAATGTAATGATTTTTAAATTTCTTAATGTCATAGATCATGACTTAATCATGACTCGGATTTTAAAACACATGAAAAGAACTACAATATATGCACTATCTATCTATATAAATCTTGAAAAATGTGACATAGTAACTAATAACTACCTTTGTTCTAACGAATATAATTTTAAAAAATGTGTTTTTTATATTTATTACTTACTAGTCATAATACCCACATGTTACATTTATATTGGAAAAAAATGCTAATAAATAATTTAACAAACGATCTTAAATTGAATTGTTTTTCAATAGAGTACTATTTAAAATTCCTAAATACGGTATTTATCTTAAAAATAAAAACAGGTATATTTCTAATGCTATATTTGTTGTATTAATGTGTCCATTAACTTTTTTTTCTACGTGACTTCTTTCATTAAACTAAAATTTTGAAAAACGCAAAATAAATCTAATTTTAAATGCTAATATTAATACAAATTACAATATAAAATTCTAAAAATATACAATATAATATTTCATATTTGGAATCCTTAAGTGTTAACAAATTATTATTTGTTTATTCTGTTATTTTTATATGAACTCTAAAATAATTAATAATATTAGCAAATGCAATAGAATCTAGGCTCTGGTTATGGCACCAATCAATAATTATAGGTACGATATTATATTTGAATTTAATTGAAATAACCTCAAAAATAAAAAAATTACATTTTTTAAAAATGTACAAATTAGTGCATAGTTGATACTATGTAGGTAGGTTACCTACAGTATTAATATTTTGTGCGATCAAGTACATTTAACACTTATTTTTTAATGGTTTATAAAATAACACCTGTGTAATCATAACATTATTTTGTATAATATTCTTTAATCACGTATAGCGTCCTACGCATTTGCGTTTCCGACACAACCCTAGTTATGGTATGTATTATGTATATTGTAGGTATTATGATTTATGTTTAATATTATTATTTAAAATTAATACATTTATATTAAAAAATGTGTGGTTGCGAAATCCTCTTTGTTTATAACATATTTTAAATAGTGTTCTATATTTATCCTCAAAAGATTCAAGGTTCGGATTACAAAATATATAAGTTCTAAAAAATTACTTATATTTTATAGAAAAATTAAAATGTAACTTTATCTTATAAAACTGTACAAAATAAAAGTTAGTAAATTTATACGACTATATTTATGATCAAGTTAATGACTAGGTAATATGTTACTGATGTCAATATATAGTTTTAGTAATAAATAAAATTATTATTTTTAAATTTATCAATCGATTTTATATGCCCAAGTTGACAACATATGACTTACTACATGAAAAATGACGATAAGCACATCTTAGCCAATGTCATAAACTTATTAAACTTAAATACCATCCCCTAATTTATATATATAATAATTATTTATAGCATGAACTAAGTATATAGACATCAAAAGTGAAAATTATGCATAATATACTATACACTGTTAACTTCAATAGATAGTGGACTCGTTTTTTTAATTTATTTTTGAACGTTGAAGCCGTTGAAGGTAATTATCACAACTAATTAAAATAAGTACAAAACCCCACAATAAAATAAATTTTTGTTTATTAAAATTTAAAGAACTTTTCTATAAATATATATAGAATTTTATATAGCTTAGAGCTGTTGTTCTTAATTTTCTGAAGATGAATAAGAATGGCTGTACTACAGATGTGTATAACATATTCAATCAGTAAATCACCATAACAAAATAATTTTTTTTTCATTATTTTACTCTTATTCTCACATCACTTGTTTGTTCTAATTTTTAGTCATTTAATGTGTTTTTTGTTGTAAAATATGTTTACAATTAATATATCTACATATAATGATGATCTTATATTTTATATTTATATCGTATAACGAGTATAATATAGATCTCTAAACAATTAGAAACCTTTTTTAACAATACTTAGTTTTAGCTAAATACTCTTATTATTTTTAAAATAGTTATTACTATTTGAATAATTTTATTGAGCTGTAAAATCCTATAAAATCCAAATAAGTACATAATTCATAAACCAACATAGATGGGAAGTGGGTACACATAAAATATTATTCTGATGTCAGTAAAAATGATTTTAATTACATTTAAATATAGCTTTTATTTAAATAATTCCTCAATTTTTATTGTAAATTAGTTTAAATAAAATGGTTGAAATTATGTTTGTACTGAAATGGCTCTAAACCAGAATTTTAATTTTTAATTTTATCTATCTACCTTATTTAATATACACTTGTGGAGCATTAGTTGGGGCTGTCATTGTTTTATGTAAATTTACTGTGGTCATTGTTTAAGCTAATGTTTATTATCGCAAATAAATATATTATTTATAAAACGTAAACAGTCATTTAGTAGTGGATAATTTATATAGAACGTCAGTGCCACAGTTAATGGACGATAGTTCTAAATAACATTTTTAAATAAAATATTAAAAATAATTATTATAATAGTTTCAATATTTAAGGACCATTCATTTACAGTTTTAACTGACATAGGTAATAGATTATCTAACCTGTTATCTATAATAACTAAGTTAAGAAAATATTTTTTTAATGCAAATTATTCCAACAAATAAAACAAAATAAAACTTAAAATAATTTATATCTATCAAAGTTGTATATGCAGTTTAAAATCATAGATAATTATTTACAATTTTTTTTGCTCCCATAAACATAACATTAATTAAAGTTTCAAAATTGTTGACCTAATAACTCAAGAAACAGTTAAGAATTATAAGTAAAATTGTAAACAAAATAAAATTAAAGTGATCACAGAGGTCAGTTTTTGAGAAGTCCTGTTTACCTAAATGTATTTAATTATTTTAGTTATATACAGAAATATTAAATTGGGAATGAGTTTTTATAAACGTTCCATTTTAAAGAGAATATTATTTTATACTACAAACAGAGTTTAAACTTTAAACTAATAAATTATTTTTTCTTCAACTCATTTAATATTTTATTTTCTTACTAGTTAATCTTTTTCTTTAGTTCTGGCATCAAAAAAGACATTCTCTCTAGGATAACATAAAATCCTATGAAAAATAAAACATGAATGTCAAGAGACCGTTAAAAACTCATTCATTGTGTGTTTATACTACCATAACAACTTGTATTACGAATTTCAAATAAGACGATTTTATGTTATTATTGCTGTATCGGTTTATAAAAATAATATTTTTTAAATCAACAATAATTGTTACCTTGAAAAAAGTGTCTTATAAAATCAATATCAACTCAAAAATAGTCACAACATCTAATAATAACGTATTATATGTATACAAGTAGTCAATGCCGTGCTAACTTTCATTGGCAGCACAGAGCGATAATATTTGCCGCCCCTATTAAATATACATATTTAAACATTTGCCGTCCTTTCAAATGTTACAACTTTTGTCACCCTAAGACACTTGCCCCATTATTTGCCAAGGCTTTGCAAGTAATTGCATGTATTTATTATTATTATTTTGTAATTATTTTATTTAAGAATTAATGCGTGCATAAGATCCTGTGTTATCGTTATGATTATAGGTAACAACGGTCTAGTATGGTCTGCGCAACTCATATAGTAATTTGTACGTTTAATTATGAGGGAGACGCCAAGCGAGCATTTGTTGTCTCTGTCTTAAAAAAGTGCAACACTGCAAATCCCCCCTCCCATTCCCTCTGAGTAGTATAACAATACTTGTAAATGGTTATTTGTTTTTAACACGGTTATTACTATTGTAGATCGTGGTTTTCAAAATTTTTTTGAATTTTTTTTCATGAAGCCTAGTTAATGATATGATGCCATGGTCAATCCTGTGGCGGTACTCAACGCTACGGTTTTTATTTATTATCATTTATTATTATATTGTTTTTAGTATTAGTAATAATTATTTGCAAAATTAGTTGTGTGATAAACCGAATTACCACAATCCTATTGATATTAAAATATTTTTGTTATCTATTGTCGAATCCGGTCAAAACATAAACTCTTACTCTATGTGGAGTTATCATTTCTTTTTGACGGTTCAGCTGTTGTCTCCTCTCGTTGGTTTATAGTTGCAAAATAAAAGTGCCTACCTAAAGTGTAAAATTGTAGTCGACATTCAACACGTTATTTTTTCTCTAGCAAAAATATATCCCCCCCCCTCCTGTAATAAAGTCCCAGATACACCACTGCGTTCAATTCGTTCACTGTTTCTAAAAATATTAACCAAAATCGTTTAACAGTTGTCGTTACATTTTCCATGGAGCCTTGTTCATTATTGTCACTGTGACGAAAAATAAGTATTCGTGTGATAAAATGCTAACCTGAAACGATTCGAGTCCATCGGGATCGTCATAGAACTCGTGCAAGTAACTCTTGACGCCGAAACCCGTCAGCCGCCTGCCAGTCTTGGCGTGGTAGGCCAACCGGGCGTCGGCAACCTCTTCGTCCGATCGCCGTGGCTGGTTATGTTTTTTCTTTGGCCGCTCGGCCGGCGGCAAAGGAGCCGGTGACGGAGACGTCGACGAGTGCGTAACGAAACTCACACGATTCGTGTTGGCCGATTTCTTGTTGTTGTGCACCAGTATCCCCTTGGCCGCGGTGGTGGCGGGCACACGACCCCTCTTGGCGCCGGGCACTGGACTTGGGCGACCACTGCAGCCCGATGACACCACCACGGAATCACCATCGTTATCGGACGTCATGTGAACGGTCAACACCGGTCGGCCACTGAAACACGCCCTTGGTCATAAATAATATAGCTACCACGATGGAAAAAAAAGAGACCATAAATAATAATGAGTTCTAATAATATGTAGGTATGCTTGTGCATTATGTATAAGCTACTATACAGAAGTGGCACGATATGGAGGTACTTCAGTGCCTCAGAGTTCAAAAATGATGTCTCTAGTTCTTAAATATAATAATTCAAAAAAAAAACTAAAAACTAAAAATAAAAGCTTTTATAATTTTATAAATAATCCACGTAAACCTCCAATTGCAAATAACTGTACCTGTACCAATGGCCACAGCTACCTATATTTTTTTTTTTTTTGATCAACAGAAAAATAAAATAAAAATATTTATATGTTTGACTTTATAAAAATAATAATTGATTGGAATATTGATTTTTGTTAGTATAGGACATGTACATTGTACCTACCTAATTACCACTCTTATAATAGTATAAGACATAACAACTATCGACGTCTTATGGAATACAGGTATGTTTATGCTTATATATAGCTTATTTGTGTATTTTTCTCATATCTATAGAATACATAATTTTTTTCTAAAGGGCTCATCCCACTGGTACCTCAATATTATATTGTTGTAATATTATGGGAATCGATATTTCTGGCTTATTCTAAATAACCTTAAACACTTAATAAAAGTTTGAAATTATCACCGCGAAATGGATGTCCAATCGATTCGACCTATCGTCATTACAATAATATTATATTGCTCTCCGAACATAATAACACGATTGTCCGATCACAAGTACCTGTATAAAATATATGCTTATAACATGAATATATAGCTACCTACCAATATTATAGTATTTAGATATTAGTTTATTTAAATTTACTCGATCACCGTCGTTTAAAGGATAAGGCCAACTGCCAAGTATGGTTATTAGCTATATTTGCATAGAAAAACTTACCCTCACAAACTACTTTACAATTTTGGTGTTCACCCACACAACTTCAATAAACGATATTATAATAAATCAAAAGCAATTTGTTTTGAACTATCATACAGGCACAATCTTCGGCACCTGCCATTGATCTTTTTATTCCAGTTATACGGCATAATATGTGTTGAACCGTTTTAGCCTCTTTTATTCTGTCGTTATATTTTCTTTTTGACAGATTTTACAGATCAATGAGTACAGATTTACAATAATTGAAAACCAAATTAAACGCAAATTGATTTTGTAGTTTGTACTTATTGGAAACGATTCGAAGAAAACTCGACGACGTCGATTCGTGTTATACTAATGTACTCTAGGTATGGTAAGTCGTAGGTGACCTACATATTTGGAATGTATCTGTTGAATTAACATCGTTGAAAATAAATAACCACACATTTACACGTTTGTGAAACTTTCGGGAGGACTCAAAATAATATTATTTACCGAATTCATCCATTCGTAACCGCACATAACATATCACCGGAATATTTAAGCAACGTACGTCGTATAACGTTATAATGTACTATAATTATGGTCTATTGAAGAGTTCATTACACGAAGTAACGAGAAAATCATTTTCTCAAATACCAAGTAAATAAAGAAGCATATAAAAGGCATTCTATTCAAATCTATTCTAGTTATTGGCGAGAGGGGACAGAAGAGTGAGATATGCATCCTGTACATTAATATAGCCAGAAATCAGCAATCCACCATAGATATACTTAAAATAGTGATATCGTACCTAACTATATAGCATGTACAAGTAATAGACTCTGCGGTCAATAGTATAATTTATTCGAACTTGGTGGATTTACCATATCGGCAGTACAGTGGGTATTCAATTAATAATTCAAGTAACAATGATATCATACTAAAATATATGTATTTTGCTTCGTTTGAATTGAACAGTAGTTGTTTTAGTCGAATGTGAGTATAATATTATTTACCAATATTTTCGCAGATGTACGCACCTGCTGTTACTGTCACCACCGCCCGTATTGTCGTCGCTGTCCGATCGTCGACCCGCTGCTGCCGCGGTTGCATCCGCCACCGCCGAAGTTCCATCTGCAGCACACGATCAGGCCACACTCACGTCTCCCGGTATCCAGGAACTACTGGGAAAATAAATCGTAATCATTATTAGCACCCAAAGCGTTAGCAACAGTATACCTAGGCGTAACCCCCCCCCCTCCCCCATTATAAAATAAATCCCCTTATTTGTGTCTTTGATACTACGACCACAATTCATTTAAATGTAATATTCCTTATAACACTCCCCCCTCCTCCCATTGAGAATTCCTGGGCACGCCACTGGCTATAATTGGTGTTTGATAATAATATGTTTCGTTTACCTCGCGGCTCTCGAACACGCGAGGGACGGAGAATAAAATTGAAGGGTGCGATGCAATAACCAGGTATCTCCACTTTTTTACTAAGTGAGTTTTCCATGAAAATTACTATTTAAAGTATTATTTAATAGTAAAATATAATTGTATTCATTAAAATACGCGGCTAGGTGATCCTGCAGCAGCTGATTTAAAAATATATAGTTTCCCGTTTATATAAAAAAAAACCCCATATAATATTATAACAGTCTTGCGACGGATTGGTTGGGCAATTTATTGTTTTAACGGTATTGGGTAAAATGAGGCATTTTCACTGTATCTGCGTACTTGAATAAAATTCTGTTGGCACCTACACAGTGGTTCCACAAATTAGAGGTAGGTACGTAATATTACTAATATTATATCGTACAGAGTCCCGTTAACAGCAGTGCCGTGCGGTGAATATTGACTATTGCACATAATAACAATACATTTTCTCATTAGGTATTTTATAAAAACACGGACTTTATTCGGTTTCGAATGGATATTACGTGACAGTCCGGTTTAATATAACAGCAATAATAATAATAAAATGCACCCTAATAATGCGTATAACGTCGGGCGATAAACGTACGCTAAACGCGTTAAAATGAACCATATAATATTATAAATTATGTATAATATACACGATTCACAATAGAACCTGCGGAATTCAGAAAGCCATAAAAGTTACAGCTGATGTAGTTCTTGAGCTGATGTGGCTATTATTTTTATAATATCTCGAACAATGCCTGACACACATGACGTATAAGATTACTAAAACAGTTAGGTGCTGAAATCGTTGATAATGGTCGCTGTATGAAGAATGTTGCTAATGCAATGCGTTCAATCATATACTAAATGCATTTTTGAAAGATAAATGTTGCACATGGAGGACGAAACCATAATTTAATGAACTACTGACGTGTAAAATGTATGTTTATACGCATGACATAAAATTAATATTAATGAATTACCGGTACTTTACTTAAGTCGTATGAGTATTAATTAATCTATATAAGAAACTTGTATGTGTGTGTGTGGGTGTTTCATTTATCATAATTAAAAAGTTTGAAATAAACTTTTATGCATAATAATAGTACTTATTATTTTTAGATTGTATTTCATTGCGTTTCTTCACTAATCAATGATTCTTATTACTTATTTATTTATTCTAAAGTTATATAAGTATCACACTACATAAGCGAGCTTGGTATTATTGCATGTAACATGTTACAACTTGTTAACTTACAAATGTACTATAAAGCATTGTAATGTTTTTTAAATATTTTTTGACATTTATAAATTTTATAAATACTCTGTAGTTTTAAAATTATAAATTTCATTCTTTCCATGAAATTAATAATGATTTTTTTTATGATGTATATTCATATTAACTCTGCGTTACAACAAATAGGTACATTTTTTTTAAAATTGTTTTTGCAGCACTAATACGTAGGCGTAGGATGATAAAGTAAATCATTATTTTAACAAGAAAATTAATATTGATTTTAAAAACCAATTTAAAATTAAATACTTAGTAGTTTAACCGGAAGCCAATCATTTACTTAACTTATTTCATATATATTATTTCTATAATAAAACTTAATCAAAGTTTTTAAGTAAAATCAATAACTGAATATACCTCATCTCAGTTTATCTAATATATTCTAGAAAACATCTATGTATATAAAACTTAATAACACATTTCATAATTGCACAATAAATTTGCACATCAAAATATTTAGAGGGCGTTGTGCGTCACACACTCTTGAATTAATGTTTTATCTCTGTCTAACACCGAAGAAACATGGAAATTGAATGTACTGGATTCTTAGAACAATTTATTTACATTAAAGGTTAATATTAGAGATAATATATTTATTATCAAATTTGTATAGGAAATATAAATAATTGCGCTTGAGTGAAGGGTATTTTTCATTTTAAAATGAGTTAGTTCAAGGAAATACCTACTTAAATAATTATTTTTTTAAATTTAATATAACTCGTTTTTAAATAAAAATATGAACAAATATTCTTCATTCGAGCATAGTATATATTAGTATAATATTTCTTTTTCAACAAAGTCGGTTATAAGTAAATTTGCTCTAATTTTAATAATTAAAATATAATCTATAATAATTAATAAGCTTCCGGTACGTAGATATTTTGATATATTATTATGTTACGCGTATGTAAAAGACAGATACAACACGTCATTGTCATGTGGGTACGGCGTCAACGTCCTTTTTATCGACAAATTGAATACAATTAATTATTTTTTCCTTAAGAATATTAAATCAAACACGATTCATCAATATTTTTTTAATAAACCTTATTAAAACGATAAATTTTGTTGGATTATCAACAGTATTTGGAACTTTTATTTAATCTTATAAGATTCTGAAAAATATATGGTTTTAATGACTGTAGAATTACAGAGTTAATCGAGAAAATTAGGATTTAAAATTATGCAGATTATTTAAATGTAAATTCATAGTTTAAATTTTCCTGATAATTTTCATTATGTTATACTTGTCTTTTAGAAACAAATCGAACCATTAACCACGTATATTTTGTTGTATTTTCATTATCCGATTATTGACCACATCGACTAATCCGTTTTTAGCAGTATAGGTTCGGTTTAGAAATATATTTTCAGAATTCACTTGGGATGTGCTTGTAATCTGTCCGTTTAGGTCCCTGACAAGTGGCCTACAAGATAGTAATATAATGAGCTTTTAGCCCTATCCAATGAATGCCTTGGGGGCATACATCATCATCGAACCATCCATCCAGTTATGGTACAGCAACTTAATTAATCCTGGCGGGATCGCCTATTACTTCCCGGAGTAAATTTCTTATGATGTATTAAAATGAGTAAGGTATAAAACACGAATCCTTGCGACTCCCTATTATTTATAATTATTTATCAATTAAGTAGGTAAGAGTATTAAGTCATATTAAAGTAAAT